CAGACATATATACCAAATAAATCCATAGGGCTTCTCAGGTGGTGCAGTGGTAAAGAATCTGCCTGCAATGCAGGAAACCCAGGTTTGATCCCTGGGTGGGGAAGATTCCCTGGAGAAGGAAATGGCCGCACACTCCAATATTCTTTAAGGGAAAAATCCATGGACAGAAGAGCCTGGTGGGCTACAGTCCATGAGTTGCAAAGAGTCACACACAACTAAGCAACCGAGCATAGCACAGCAGCAGAAAAGAACACCCAGTGAGGAAAAGATACTCTCTTCAGTAAATGCTGCTAGGAAAAGTTGGTATCCACATGCAGAAAAATGAGATTATCTCATATTTAAACAAAAACTCAAAACGTATTAAGATTTAAACATGAAACTGAAACTGTAACACTACTAGAAGATAACATAGAGGAAAAGCTTCCTGATGGTGGTCTGGGCAATTACTTTTGGGATATATCAGCAAAAGCAGAAGCAACAAAAGCAAAAGTGGACGAGAGAAATTTTATCAAATAAAAATGCTTCTGCAAAGCAAAAGGAAGAGCCAACAGAGGGCAAAGGCAAGCCACAGAATAGGGGAAATATTTTCAAACCATGTATCTCATAAGGCTTAATATCCAGTATATGTAAGTAAGTCATACAACTCAATGGCTGAAAACAATGCCTCCATTGAAAAAAAAGGGCAGAAGACCTACATTTCTACAAAGAAGACACACAAATGACTAAAAGGTATGAAAGAGTACATGATATCACAAATTAAGGAAATGTAAATCAAAACCACAATGAGATGTCATCTCACACCCTTTAGCTATTTTCAAAAAGACAAGAAACAACACATGTTATTGAGGAAGGGGAGAAAACGGAACCTTTGTGCATTGTTGGTGGGAATGTAAATTTTTATCACCATTCTTTAAAACAGTATGGAGATTCCTCACAATATCACAAACAGAACCACCTTATGATCCAGCAATCTCACTTCTGGGTATACATCCAAAGAAAGTGAAATCAGGATACTGAGATACATTCACTCCCATGTTCACTGTAGCATTATTCACAATAGCCCAGATATGGAAACAAATTAAATATCCATCCAGAGAAGAACAAAGGAAATATGAGATACACACACACACACACAAGAATATTATTTAACCTTCAAAGAGAAGGAAATCCTACATTTCACAACATGGGTTAATCTGGAGGGCATCATGCTAAGTGAAATAATCAAGATGCAGAAAATCAAATACTGCATGGTTTCACTTATATGTTGAATCTAAAAGAGTCAAACTCCTAGAAGCAGAGAACAGTAGTAGCAACAGAATTGGTTGTCAGAGACTGGTAGGCAGGGAAAGTTGTTAACCAAGAGGTACAAATTTTAAGTCACTCAGGATGAATAAATTCTGAAAACCTAATGTAGAACACTGTGAATATAGTCAACGATATTGTATACTTGAAATCTTCTAAGAGGGTAAATCTTAAGCCAAGTAAGATGGACAGTATGGGGGATGATGAGTATGTTGATTAGCTTGATTGTGGTGATTGTTTCATTATGTATATGTTTATCAACTCTTCAAGCTGTATACCTTAAAAATATGAAATTTTAAATTATCAATTATACATCATGAAATCTGGGAAAAGAGATTATAATAAATTTCAAAAGACTGAATAGAAAAAAATCTCTTGTACATGAAGGCTTGTAGCAACACTGCTCATAACAACAAAAAAGTGGAAAAACCCAAATATTCACCAACAGATGAACAGATACATTAAATATGGTATATCTACATAACTGATTAGTATTTGGCAATACAAAGAAATGAAGTACATATACATGCTACACCATGGATGAAACTCAAAAACGGTATGATAAATGAGAGAAGCCAGTCAAAAGTGACCACATATTCTATAATTGCATTTATAGCAAATGTCCAGAATACGCAAATTTAAAAAGACAGAAAGTAGATTAGTGGCTGCCAAGGGCCAAGGTGGCTGGGGGATCGACGAGGTGACTGCCAATGGGTTTGGTGTTCCTTTGAGATTAATGACTATGTGTCAGAACCGATTGCTTTGATAGTTGCACAATCCTATTAATACACTAAAAACCATTAGACTGCATACTTTAAAAGAGTGAATTGCTAAAATGCAAATTCTACCTTAATAAAGCTGTAATTTCAGAAAGGAAGAATCCACATCAGTGTGGAGCAGAGGAGACAGGCTAGAAAGAAGAGAGGCCATAAGAAGAATACAGTCATCTGTTAGCAGCCAAAGGAGACTGGTTTCAGGACCCCTGCAGATACCAACGTCTGCAGATTTCAAGTCCCTTGTATGAGATGGTGCAGTAGAGTCGGCTGTCCATATCTTTAGGTTCTGCATCCATGAACCCAGCTAAATACAGACGGAAAACATTTGGAAAAAGAAAAATCCAAAAAGCAAAACATGAATTTGTGGTGCAACTATTTACAGATCATTTACATTACAAGAGGTATTCTAAGTAATCTAGAGATGATTTAAAGTGTACAGGCATGTACATAGATTATATGCAAATACTGCACCATTTTACATAAGGGACTTGAACATCTGCAGATTTGGGTATCTAAGGGGAGTCCTGGAGCTAACCCCAGGCAGATACCAAGGTACCAGTGTGAAATGTTTCTCCTCCATGAAATCAGGAATGGTAGCTTATCCTTTGATATTCTTCCCTATACCAAATATATTGCATTATTACAGGAAATAATTTGCGCCTCTCCTGATAGTTTAAAGCTGAGTTTCAACTATTTAATTCTTTACCTTCTAAAACTCCTAAAAGTTTTGAAAAAAAATAAATAAAAGTTTTGGTTTATCATTAATCTAGAACATTTCTGATGTTATAGTGGCTGATTTGTTTCTTTTATTAAAGCTGTACATACTTTACACAATGCATCATGCTGGTTGTGGTTTCTTTCGCAAGTCTGGAAATAATATAAATTTGCACTGTCATACTATTTTCATTTAACTATTTAAGTAGTAAAATAAGAGCTTTCTTGACAGTTTAGCAAGAACAAACTTTGTATCTTTCCATAGTGGAAGCTAAAGACGGGAGGAGATGAAACAGAAGTTCAGAGAAGATGAACAACAACAACAAAAAGATGTGAAAGATGTATACACTGACAGCTACAAAATATTGCTCAGATAAATGAAAGAATATATACATAAATGAAAACATGCACCTTTGTCATGGGTCAGGAAACTTGATATTGTTAATCTGTCAAATATCTCAAAATTGATTCGTAGATTCCAAAAAATCCTAATCAAAATTCCAACAGGTTTCTTTTAAAAGACATTGACAAATTGATTCTCAAATTCTCATATATATTCAAAAGACCTGTAAGAGTCAAACCAACTTTGTAAAAGAAGAAAGAGGTTGGAGAACTAATGCAGCCTAATTTCAAGGCTTATTGTAAAATACAAAGTAATCAACACAGAGCAGAACTGGAGTAGAGACAGAGGAATCAATGAAACAAAAGTGTGTCTGGACATGGACCCACAGAAATAGGGACAACGCATATCTACAAAGTTACAAAGGTAATTGAGTGGAGAAATTTTTCTCTTTTCAAAAAATATAACAAATTCTGGAACTACTAGATATCTGCAGGAAGAATAAAAATAAAAACTTTGGGACTTTCCTCATGGTGCAGTGAATAAGAATCCATCTGCCAATGCAGGGGACAGAGGTTTGATCCCTGGTAGGGGAAGAGCAACGGCACCCCACTCCAGTCCTCTCGCCTGGAGGAGCCTGGTGGGTTGCAGTCCATGGGGTCACGGACAGTCAGACACGACTGAGCGACTTCACTTTCACTTTTCACTTTCATGCACTGGAGAAGGAAATGGCAACCCACTCCAGTGTTCTTGCCTGGAAAATCCCAGGGACGGGGGAGCCTGGTGGGCTGCCGTTTATGGGGTCACACAGAGTCAGACATGACTGAAGCGACTTAGCAGCAGCAGCACCAGCATGTCCGATTCTTTGAGACCCCGTGGACTCTAGCCCACCAGGCTCCTCTGTTCATGTTGATCTTCCAGGTACCAATATTAGAGTGGGCTGCCATGCTCTTCTCCAGAGGATCTTCCCAACCCAGGGATCGAACCCAAGTCTCCTACATTGCAGGCAGACTCTACCAGGTGAGCTACCAGGGATGCCCATGCACCCATTAGAGCAGCCAAAATTAAAGTGACTAACCTTACTGAGTATTGGGGAAAGTGTAGAGGGAGTGCCATTATCATATACAACTAGTGTGTGTATATGTGTGTGTGTGCATGCTCAATTGTGTCTGACTCTCTGTGACCCCGTGGACTGTAGCTCGCCAGGCTCCTCTTTCCATGGAATTATCCAGGCAAGAATACTGGATTGGGTTCTCTTCCTACTCCAGGGGATCTTCCCAACCCAGGGATTAAACCCATGTCTCCTGAGTTTCCTGCATTGGCAGGCAGATTCTTTATCACTAGCGCCACCTGGGAAGCCCCTATACACAACTAGAAGAAATATTAACCAGTACAACCAGCTTGGAAAAGTTTGGTAGTGGTCTAAACCATAAAAGCTCATCTGCTCCCAGCTTTCCACTCAGAGTTAAAGTTTACCCAAGAGAAATGAAAGTATATGGATATACAAAGACAGAAACACAAATATTTGCAGGAGCTTTATTTGTGATAGCCTCAAACTGCAAATAATCCAAATGTCCATCAAAAGGTGAGTGCATAAATAAGTGATGCTATGTCCATACAACGGAATAGTAACAACAACACAGTACTACAACAAAAAAGAATGTGCCTTCACTGCACATCCTGGGAGAATGCAGGTTTCACATGGCGCCTGCACTGACCCCCCTCCAGGAAGAATCTAGCGGCACCTGGCTACGTGGTCTCCTAGCAACCGGAGAAGCCGAGACAACAAACTACTAAAGCAGTGAGTCCCCCTCGAGGCCAGGGGAACCCAAAAGAAGTGGCTGCTAGGGCCGGGGCCACTGGAACCGATGCCCCTGGGCATGAACTGCAAGCCCTGGTACAAAGACAAGCTACCCTCCAAGTGTTTCGCAAAGCACAAGAAGGCACTCCTGAAGTTCCCCACATCCCTCTACAGCCGGTGGTGGGTATTTGTGAAAGAGGGGCAGGACGACTTCCGGAAGGGCTGCCCACCTTGTAAAGATCTGATCACTCGAGGACCTAATGAGGGCTTTCTCCCCGTGATTGCTCACAGAGTTCCCCAGCATGCCCCCCCAAAGAAAAAGCTGCCCATGGAAGCAGAGGTGTTCTCCACGCTTTCATCAGCCCAGCAAGCACAGAAGGCATTCGTGGAGGAAATCGAAGCCCACCTAACCCAGCATCCCTTGGCGCTCTACCTGAAGCTGGAGGAAGATCTACCTGCAGACCTCTTATTAAAGGTGCTGGAAGTGCTCGATCCTGACAGAAAGCTGGAGGACTTGTGGGCTTACTGTCTGGGTCCCAAGGGAAAGAAGAAGTCCCCCAAAAAGCTTCATAAAAAACGCCCTGCGACGGTCCAGCTGGAACCTGTCAAGGAGGCTCCCGTGTCACACCCAGCCAGTTTCTACTTTGCAGACAAGAAGTCAAGCAGAAAGGATTCACTCACTGATTCATCTTTTGATAACAATGTACAGAAAGGAATTCGGCAATTCTGCAAATGGGTTTCTACTTTTGGAGACTTGGACACTGACAAACAGTTCATCATGAAAATGTGTGAGGTGGGCTGCTACTGCCCAGCAACCCATGGCAAAGCCCACATGGAGGAAGTATCCCAGGTTTCTTCAGAGGTAAAGTTCGGCATTGGTGTAGGTAAAATGGAGGCAACAAAATACTCCATGGAGGAACAAAACTGGGAGAGGAAACTCCAGAAACCACACAATCCTTATAAACCTGACTGGGTGAAGATAAGGTATGGTGCATGGTACCTGCGGCCCAAGTTGTGGAAAAAGCTAATAAATGACGAACCTTTGATTGATCCCAAGGCCTTACTTGGAGGTGGGATTTTTGGAAAGAGGTTTCCTGAACAGGACAATCTTGAAGATCTTTATGGAACAATTGCATTTAAAGATTTCATTCTAAGCAAGGGCTACCGGATGCCAGACATCCTTGAGAGGTTGTTCACCAGGAAGGGATGGAAATATGATTCTGTTAAGACTCCTATACACAAAGTGATAAAAATCAAGTTAATTAGAGTAGATGCACGGGAAGATGCTTAGACATTTTTCTATTTACTACTTAATTGGCTTTTTTTCTCTCTATCATTGTAACATCCATCAGAATTCATGGTGAGTGTCCATCCCACCATGTATGTACAACTTTGATTCTACATCTGTAAATTTAATACCTAATGCTTATAAACAGTTCTTAATAACCTTCTGCTTGGGTTTATCAATATTTTATCAGTTTTATCACCTATGAAATCAATATTCATATATACTCTTCTCACATTTTATAGCATTGTGAATACCACATTGTTGTATCAATTATTTGTAAAAATAAATCCACAAAAAATAATTACTTTTTATAAATATGATCTAGCTATGTCAGCTACAAAATGGGATCAATTTCAAAATAATTGTGCATTATAATTAAAATCATGAGTTAATTATGACAATTACTCTTAAGTACAATTGGTAGCCAAAATAATGTTAGCCCCATTTAATAATGAAATTGCTATCCCCCTTATTAGGATTGCATCAAGCTCCCAAAAGAGATGGAAAACTATCAAAATTATAGGTGAAACTTTAATTATGCTGTTTTGTCATGCCTCTCAATTAAATATACTTAAAAATTTTTAACCATATTCATAAAAAATTCACCAAGAAAAAGTACTTCCATATAACATAACACAGGTACAGAATAACAGGGAGCTTCAAGTTCTCGGCAAATCTAGTGTACAAAATAGGTCTGAGTGGGCAAAACTACACAGCATCATCAAATATCCACACATATCTATTCAAGTAAGATTAATCATTTCATTTTACAAATAGTGACTAAAAACTCACTCATGAATGTAAAAGAAGAAGTCAAGCAACTTCTATACATTTCCAAAATAACAAGTAAAATTGTCTGGGATAGGAAATTGATAGCGGGAAAGATTAGTAGCACAGGCCTGCAGTGCAATTCTATTTCTGGTAATGAAGGAATTTATCTGTAAATGGAAGTATGTGCATATACTTTACCCTCGTGAGAAGGGAACAGAGCCATCAGGTTGTAGTGTTCACCAATATCCTTACTGCAATCAACTACTCCCTTTTCACTCCTCCATCTTCACTGAAGTTACTTAGTGTGTGAATTACTGACTTGCTCCCTTTAACTACTCTCATAGTTCTTGATTCAAATATTCACAAAGACTATCCATTCACATCCTGGCACTGAATCTCACTGCCTCCATTCATCTTGTCCTCATCTCACTACAGACAGTAGGTAAGATGATCCCTACAGTTAGACTCTAGCCTTTGTTTCTGGCAATACTTACACCAATTCCAAATCTCAATTTCAGTTATCCCACCTTCCAATCCCTACTTTTTACCTTGTGGATCAGGCCCTTTTAATATTTCCAAACCTCCAATTCTTCTCCTCCAACATGTTAACAATTCAATGACCCTCACCAGCTTTTCAGCATTAATCGTGCCTTGCTTCAGTTCCTTACCTTCCCAGCTTAGGTTCCACTGACTACTATTATCCCTTCTTTGAGTATACTTTTAACTCCCTGGACTGTTATAGTCTTCTGATAAAACCCCAATCCTGGTTAAATCTTAATGTCTGCCATTTTTGTACCTGCACCCAAATGGTTATACATGGCTAGAGAAAATCACATACCACAGGGACTGGTTACATATGGCATGAATCTTAAATGTGCCTTCAACACTAGTTGAAATTCTGCTCCATTTATTTCCCTCATCAATATTTTTTCCCATTTTCTAATGATCATCTTACTTCTGCAATCAGTTTCCCAAATCCCTGTTTCTATTCCTCCTCCTCAAAGCACTGCTTTGTACTTCACTGAGGAAAAAAATATTTAGAAGAGAACCATCTTTTCCTCCCATCACCGCATCTGCCAGGCCAGTGACATCTATACCCATATTCTCCATCCTCTGTAACAAAGGATGAACTCTTTATTCTACTAAGGCAAAGCCTTTCGTTTGTGCATAGGATGTCAACATTTTGCCCAATTAAATATTTGTCCTGTATTTTTCTCCTTATTTTCCTACATTATTGTTCTGTCTTGCAGGGGGGAATAATTCCTGTCATTAAAAAACAAACAAACCAAAACCAAAAAGGCTCTTATAACTCTCATTATGTGAAATAACCAAACCAAATAATAATTCTCTTGATGTAATTTTTCTTTCCAGTTACCACTCTATATTTTCTGCTCTACTTTGTAGGAAAATTACCAAAAAGAGTTGTTTATAAATCATTGTTTCCACGTCTTCATCTCCTAGGGTCTCTTGAATTAATTCCAATCAGAATTTTGTTCTAATTTCCTAGTGACATGTTCTTGTCAAGGTCACCAATAAGGTGTCATGGTGAAATTTAATATTTTCATCTTATTTAAGAGCATTGGGCCTAATAAGTAACTCATTCCTTTTTGGATCCCCTCCTTTTTTGTTCTTCTAACATGACAATTCCTGTGTTTTGGTCCTTCTCCGGTCTGAGACTTAAATGTGAAATTCTCCTGTTTTTGAACTGGATATACCCAAAGATCAGTCCTGGGACTAACTCTGGAGATAATTCAATTGAATAGCATGATTTTATCACACACACACACACACACACACACACACACACACACAATTATATACACACACACACTCCCCAATTTTTAGTGAACTCCAGATTGCAATATAATCAACTGCCCACATGACACTCCCCAATTTTTAGTGGTGAACTCCAGATTGCAATATAGTCAATTGCCCACATGACACCTCTACTAGCATGTGTAATAGGAATTTAAAATAAAGCATTATCTTCCACATACAAGCAATATCATATGAAATTTGTCTTTCTCTATGTGACTTGCTTCACTTGGTATGATAATCTCTAGGTTCATTCATGTTGCTAAAAATGGCACTATTTCATTCTTTTTTATGGCTGAGTAATATTTCATTGTTTGTATATACATCTTTATCATTTTTATGTGGAATCTAAAAAAAGTATACAAATGAACTTATTTACAAAACAGAAATAGACTCACAGACATAGAAAGCAAATTTATGGTTACCAAAGGGAAAAGACAGAGGGACTAAGAGTTAGGTATTAACAGATACACACTACTATATATAAAAAATAAACAACAAGGACCCACTGTATAGCATAGAGAACTATAGTCAATATCTTTATAATAGTCTCTAATGGAAAGAATCTGAAAAAGAATATATTTATGTAGGTATAACCATATAAGGGCTCCCCTGGTGGCTCAGTGGTAAAGAATCTGCCTGCAATGAAGGAGATGCAGGTTCGTTACCTGGGCTGGGAAGATCCCCTGGAGGAGGAAATGACAACCCACTCCAGTATTCTTCCCTGGAGAATCCCATGGACAGAGGAGCCTGGTGGGCTACAGTTCATGGGGTCACAAGGAGTCGGATCCAACTGAAGTGGCTGAGCACACACTCACATAGGTAGAATCACATTGCTGTACTCCTGAAACTAATACATTATAAATCAACTACACTTCAATAAAAAGAAAGAGCATTATTATAAGAACTCTCATAATTTCCTACTTCTAAATTTGCTCGTCTTGTCATGTTCCCCATTTTGGTAAACAGCATCATCACTCAGAGTTGCCAGGCTAGCCTTGACTTCTTCAGTTCTATGCTGATGTTTGATATATCTTCACAATATATTCCCAAAGGGAGAGCCTCTACTCTTATTACCATCTCCACCCTTACTACTCTTCTCTGAGCCATCATATCTTGCCACACAATAGCAAAAGCTTCTTACCTTACCTTCTGACTGCAGTTCTTTTCACACTGTAGATTATTTTCCACAGAGTAAACCAGAGTGATCTTTTAAACACCGAATTCAGGTCATATTCCTCTCCAACTACAATGCTCAGAGGTCTCCCGTTACACTTGGGATAAAATCTCGTATCCATTGAGAGTGAGAAATACCCCCATCTCAGAGCTTTTGAATTTGTTCTTCCTTCTGTCTGCAATGTTCTCTTCCTAGATGCTCATATGGTTCATTTTATTCAGGTATAGTTCAAATGTCACCTCTTTGGAGAGTCCCCCTCAGATTACCATACTCCAATTATCACCATTGATCACTCTCTACCACCCCACTTTCCCCTGCTTCATCTTTAATTTCATAACATTTATCTCTATGAGATGTGGTACATATATATATATATATATATTTATATATATATATATACCTCACATATATATATATATATAAATATATATATATTTATTTCCTCTCTTCTCTAGGCTTAACACCCTGTGGAAATAAGAACACTTTTAATTAGCCTCTAAGTTCTCACTACACAGAAAATTCAGGATACAAAGTAGATGCTCGATAACTATTTGTTGAATGGATGAAAATAGGAGAAGCTTTTTTAAATAATAGGATTTATTAAAAGTCTACAATATTTCCCTCACATTTTAATAATCAAAACCTGTTCTACACTCATCTCCTTTTTCAACCAAAATGTGAAATGATCCATATCCAAAGTGGTCTCTTCCTCCCCAAAAGGTCTCCTTCATTTTCCTTTTTTTTTTTTTTTTTTTTTTTTTACTGGCCAGAGTCTATCACAGTTTCCAGCATCATAACACATACCTTTCTCATACTTTCTCATACTTTCCACTGCAGTCACATGCAAAACAAAAGCTATTTGTCATTTCCTTTGTATTTAAGGTTAGTACTATATGCATCACTCAATGTGCTAATTATCTGCTTCATCCCATTGTATTTTAACACAAATCACTGCTTTGTAAACAAAACAGACACTCAAATGTTCAACTACAGGATTGAATGAATTTCTCTGTGACATAAATAAATCAGGTAAACCAAACTGTAGTGTGAAATGACTCCATGGGCAGTAGTTCATTAGAAGAGCTAGCATGTGCAAGGGAGGTAAGAAAGGAGATTTAGGGGCTTCCCTGGTGGTTAAGGATCCACCAACCAATGTAGGGGACCAGGACTCCATCGATCCACCCCTGGTCTAGGGATTAAGACCCCACAAGGTGCAGGGCAACTAAGCCTGCACACCACA